AAAATTATTCATTCAAAGTTTAAGTTCCTTGATTACAATTGACGACATTGCGATGCCCTGACGATTAGTTTGTGGTATGAGGGCATTAACGTCTCCATTCGTCCCTCTCGCGACCCAGAGTAGTCCAGTAAACCGTACTCGCTCGAGGGACACGGGGAAAAACATTCCTTTGCTCAGAGCTTTCGTAAAGAAGCCTGACCATCGGGCTGGCGGTCGTCCTGGTGGTCGTTTGACGTCGAGGTAGAGGGATCCAGTCCGTAACCGCTCTGGTTCAACGGTCATCACTATATTGCATGACGTGTCCGGCCCATCTGATTTTCGATTTCTAGGCGTATTCTACGGCATCCCTGACTTCCGTTCGTCGCCAGGGATGCCGTGGAATACGCCAAGAACTAGAACAGTCTGGCTTTACATATGGTGTCTAGAACAGTAACCATATGCAAAGCCAAATGAGAACACAACATCAAGTATCATTTAAGACTTTATTCTTCCATTTATCTTTCATGACTTTGTATTGTGAAGGTACTGTACGATATGTTGTTTAGGAATGGGTCTGGCCTGTGGGCAGGATCCAGAAATTGTCAAAACGATTTGTAGCTGGGTGAGGAAGGCAGTGAAGGTGAGATCTAACGAGCGTATGGCCTGACACAAGATTCATTTCGAGATTTTTTTTCAATTTTTTTTCCAAACAGCTTCTACATGTATCCTAAAGCAAGCAAACGTTATAGATACCGTTCTTCCCTAAAATGACTCCCAACATCACTGATATCCGTGCGATCGCTCGAGCTGCCAAAGAAGGAGGAGCTGATGGGGTTACCGCCACGAACACGGTATCAGGACTCATGCATATGAAGGCTAATGGAACCGCGTGGCCAGCAGTTGGAATGGAAAAAAGGTAATTGGGTTAGAGTTAAATCGAGTATTCATAACGAAGCTTTTGATAGATAGCCTCAATAGGTAATAGATAACCGGTAATAAACTGTTGGTGGTTGATAACCGGTAATAAGCGACTTTGAGGTTTCCTATGTAGTTGCGACACTTTTTGTTATTTATAAATGAACATAGAGCGAGAACGTACGTCCCAGATAAATCACGACTGGGATGTAATTTGGCATTTGTCTACACATCTCAACTACGCTGGCGTTTAATACGTTATGATGAGTTAAGGAGTTTACACATTGTCACGTCAGTGCTCTTACCCTTCTAGAAAACTATGCACTGCTTGACCTGAGCCTAGGAGATGAAACGCTGATTGCGGTGTGTTGTCAGCTCAGGCGGGGAGATCTTCTCGAATATTAGAACGGTGAAAGCACTTTCTGGTGGGTGACGAAACTCCACCCCGAATCCTCATGTTCGCTTTGCGGCGTGCGGCAAATCTTTCCTAGTTGCCGCGCGGCTTTAAAATTGCAATTACCGTACTCATTCCGCATCCCCTCCAATCGATAAGGCGCAATACTTTTCATTGACTGCCTTTCTTTTTTGTTTAGTTTTGACTGATTTTTTTGTTTTTTTTNNNTTTTTTTTCGTTTTTATGTGTATTAGACCTGATTGTTCAGAATGACTCCACCTATATTATCTAGGATCAAGACCGTATAAAGCTAAAGGGAGGGGCCAGCAAATTTAAATGATTAAAGGACTCACTAACTTTCAAAATGCGCGCTCCAATCTTCCATCGCATTTCTGTGATACACGGCAGGTGCGGCGAGTGCGAAGCAGTGTTTGGAGAAAAGATACTGGACCCCTTCCTGGTACTACCCGTGCTCGGGTCCGGTACCCTCTCCTCAAACAGCGCGTCCCGCTCTCCTCATCCCTAGCGCATCGCAGATATGCGATGGAAGATTGGAGCGCGCAGTCTTTGAATTGGTGATTCCCTCAATTCATTCCATTTGCGTAGTACTTTCATCAGTCTCAATGCGGATTTCATCGTCAATAATGGAGAGGGAGTAATCCTGAATGATCAAGTGTTATGAACATAGAGACAAAAAAGAAACAGACAGGTAATCGAAACCAATAAAAAAAATAGACATTCAAGGTAAAATATGGTGCCATGCCGATTGGCCGGGAGGCGGACAGAGCAGAGAAGGGTCATTGCAGTTTGAAGCCGCGAGACTACTGAAAAAAAAAACTTGTCGTGTGCCGAAGAGCGAACGTAGGAAATCGGGGATGAGAACCCCCACCCTTTCCCTCCCCCACCACGCTTCCACTCATATTGTCGAGATCGAGATTTCAACAGATATTATGTGAGTTATAGATCGATTATCCCTCGCTAATGAAAGTTTTAACAATAATCCCTAAACTATATTTAATTAAAAACGTCAATCGAAATTTTCGAATAAATTACTGCATGGATTTTCTCAGGACAACATACGGTGGAATGTCTGGATCGGCTATTCGGCCCATTGCTCTCAAAGCAGTATCCGCTATTGCTAATGATCTGGAAGGATTCCCTATAATGGCAACCGGTGGTATAGAAAGTGCTGAAACGGGCTTAGCATTCCTATCTGCCGGTGCTTCTGTCCTTCAGGTAAAAATATGAGTTCCGTCTCTCTTCAAAAATAATCTTTCAATAACCAAAATTTTAAGGCTTCGACGTGAACAAAACTATCCAACTTTAAAAAATCGATAAAGATTTACACGTATGTATATACCACAGTCTCAGAGGTGATGTATAAGTCAGATGGCGAACGTCCGTTGCGCGCGTCCGTCGAAAGTAGGTCACCCCGCCCACTTCGCGCGCGGCCACCTCACTGAGGTCTCGAAATGACATTACGGCACCATCAAGTGTGAGTGGAGCAAACGATTTGAATTTGCCCATGTTATCTTCTCTTCGGCTCACTGTCGTGGACTTAGCGCAATTCGTATGCCCCGCTGACAACCGCGACGTTTGTCAAGTATCGCGGACTGACCCGCCGCATGCGACGGCTGCGGCGTGACCTAGTATCTACGGGCGCGCGCAACGAAGCGCACCCAAGTCAGGTGGATGCGCCATGTCTGAACCCTTTAGTTGAAAAATGACCGTTACAAATCGAAATTTCAATCTGTCCTTGTGCGCTGAGCCTAACAGCTTATCCAACTACTCAGCACTCAACTACTCAACAACTGACTTTATAATAACATT